CTCCAGGGAAGAGATTTTGTAGAGCAAGTTTTCCAAGGCGAGTGCAATGGATAGGCATGCACTCCACTGTGCTGCCTGACAAACTCTGCAGTTGCATATGCAAATCGCCATGCTGGCAAGTGCAAATTGGGTAGCTGTGTGCAAATGCGTACTGATGGGTACCACTGGCAATTTGTGACTGCAAATGCCCCTCTGTGCACAAACAGGCAGGTTTTCATAGGTGCAACAGGCAGATTGGGCTTTTAATAGTGGATGTTTTAGTCCAGCCTCCAAATTTAAAGATCAGAGTGATAAACCTCTTAAAAACCAACAAAAAAAAGTGTGGCAGAGAACACGGAAGGGCTTATAACAAAACAGCTGACACCACCTTAACTTTATCTATACTAGCAAGTGTCTCTCTGATTAATGACCCTGTTCATTTACAGGAAGTGGTAAGTACAGCAGATGTGACCACCTCCCTGTCATCAGCAACTGCTGCAACCACTAAATTCATCATGATACTTTTGGGTTTTGGCAAACCTTTTTTAAATACAAATTTAGCTCAGATGAGTGATTGTTTCTATTAAAAAAAGAGATATGCAAACACCATCCCCAAAATTACTGCAGGTCTATAATTTGCTAATGCAGAGAGTGAGACACAAACAGAGAGATGGCATCTGCTACAGCCAACATCCCGGGCCAGATCAATTCATGCTGGTGCAGGGAGGTATCAACTGCACGTTCTGAACCAGCCTGAGCTGATGCATCCCAGAGGAATTTAGCTAAGGGAGGGTAGTGCAGACTACCATGGGCTTCCCTCCCTTGAAGTTTCCACTAGGGAACCCATCTGGGGTTCTCTAGGACCCTGCTAGCAGGGGCTGAAGCAAGCACTTGCTGAAACAGCTCCTCCCACCCAGCAACACCAACTTTATGGGGTGCACTGGCCATCTGCAGGGTTCCCATCCAAGGTTAGGGAGATTGTAGGCACTTTGTGCAACCCCACACTCTGGGGTTGCACAAAACCTAAAAGAACTGGGTGGCCTAGAAATTGTGCCCTTTACTTCTGTGCTATGACCTCCAACAGCTATAGAGAGGAACGGGATATTTTGGAAAAAAAAACAGGATCTCCCCCTTTAATGCCATTGAAATTGTTTGGTCTAGGGAAGTTTTGGGGTGGGTGGGTAGATATTTTGCAAAAAGGGTAGGTACTGTGTTTCCCCGGTAGATAGAGTGAACAGGAATGTGGCCTGGAGTTGGGGAGGACTTGGTGCAGTTTCCTGGGCTGAAGTCTCTCTCCTTGGGCCAGGCAGAGTCTGGCATTACTGTGGAGACTGGGTGCATGCCCCTAATTTTTAGGGAATGCCTCATGTTGCTAAACAGTAATCCTTTTGTCCAATGAAAGAAACGTCTTGACAGGTTTCCTTCTTGACTGACAAGATTATGACTGGAACACAGCATCCATAGGCAAGGCTTTAAAAGCAGGGGGAAATCATTATGTCCCTGCTAGAACTGAAAGGCTTTCCTCTCCACTCAAAAAAACCCAACTTAGAATGACAAATCTATATAGAAACTTGACATAAATACTTTTACATCCCCTCTCTCCTTCTGATGGGCACCAATACCCCCAAACATCAGTTCTGGGTACGGTAAGACATGGCTTCCCTGTTCCTGTAATCATTCCAACAATAAAACAATATAATATAATCTCATGGAAATTCAGGGACACTCTGGGGAGGAGATACGGGAGGAGATACAGGAGCAGCAGGAACTGATTACCTCTATTTGTCACTAGGAGAAGTGGGGAGGGAGGAAAAAGGGTGTGGGGAAAGAACTTGTTCTGGAGATCTAAATGGGGAGTGTGTGTAACGCAGACAGAATACATGAGAGAGGACAGGCCAATGTGAAAAACAAGGCATTCAGATCTCACAGTGATCGAAGCAGTATAAGAAGCAAGAAAGACAATGAGAAGATGAGGACTGTTGTCAGGATGAGAGCAGTGATATTCAGTAAGCCCGGACTGAGCTAAATATTTATGCAACTGCCTAATGTTAAGCAGGCGCTTAAGTTAATGGGACTTTAACATGTAGTTAAATGCTTTCCTGAAGCTGAGCCGTGACTCACCAGTGGCAGAGAGAAGACTGTTTATTTGGTTGGTGTTTAAATGTGTGTTTTATTTTTAGAAAGCTGCTTGAGTCCATGGCTGTCATTTTCCATGCATTTCCTCTCTCTCTCTTTTAAATGCTTCTGGTTAAAAATAAAAACCAACCAACCATCCAACAGTAGCAGGGAGAACAAAGCGAGTATGAAACCAGCAGCTGGGAGTGGGGGGTGGGGAGGAGGGGAAATCATAGCTGCTCTGACAGCATGGGGATTTGTCATTGTTCACGTCACCGCTTTAGACGATATCTCTCCCAGTATGTATATTTGTGGAATACGGAGATATATTTAACGATCCCACTGTGGTTCAAGATATGTACTGTAAGATAGCTGCCAAGATATCACCACATAGGCTGTGTAAAGAATATCTTTTTCTTGTATGCAGACATAGATTCCAAGGCCAGAAGGGACCACTGTGATCACGGAGTCTGACCTTCTGTATCACAGGCCACGGAATGTCCCCAAAATAATTCCTAGAGCAGATCAAGGACTAGGTTCTGTAACCAGAGGCTAGACTCTGTATCAAGGGAAGACTAGGCACTGCAAACTACCCACCAGTTGTCAAGTTGGGCACTCTTCTACCTGATGAGTTACTGTCTGCAATGCTGCCCTACAGTCACAGCATGGGGAGGGAATGAGGTCAATTGTTGCATAGTTGCAGCAACTCTGGTTGAGCCTGGTCCAGGATCTACAATCAAGTGGACAAGAAGCCAGGTGCAGGTGATGGACTCCTGAATTTACTTAGTGTGTTAAACTTTTTCACGCCATAAGAACATAGTTTTCAGCTCCCTGGCAGTGCTGATCATCTGTGGATGGTAAAGAGCAGCACTGTTGTCCAGAAGTGAGTTAGCTGCAATTGAAAAGTGGTATCAAAAGACCAGCTTTGGTGTCACACCCTGGTCCACAGGGAGGGATTCTCCCCCCTGAATATGAGCAGATCTTCAAGTCGGTGCTGTGTGTTGTTTCCTGTCTGAAAATGGGGCGTCAGGTTTCAGCTGTCAAAGCTGTCCAGGCAAACTTAGCATTAATGGCATTTCGTCAAAGGCCTGGCAGAGTTATGTGCGCTAGCACATAAAAACTGAAGGTTGGTGTGTACTTCAAGCAGCCACTAATAATACAAGTGGCCAAATTCAGCTCTGTCTTGACAAACTGTGTGGCAACAGTGTCCCCAAGCTGCAAAGCAGTCCGAAAACACCAGGGCCAAAGCAGATAGATGAAGGCCTGAAGGATCTGCTCCTGAGGAGGTTCTTGATAGTTTTTGTATCAAGATGGTATGGGAAGAGATCTTCCTTTTCAGGTGTTCCAGGTGAGGCTGATGTGTCAGACTATTGTCAAGTTTTACTACCCAGTATGTGACAACTGGTTGGAATGGCAGTAGCCATCCTTGTACCTGGATTGAGATGGGTTGATTGGCAAGATTATTGTTTAGTTAGAAAGTAGTTGCCACGGTCTTGGTTTCACTAAGAATTAGTCTCCATTGCTGGAAGTAAGTGATCAAAGTATCCATGTCTTGGCTGGGATTCCCTTCAATCCTAGGGAAATCATTTCCAGTGTCAGGAATACAGATATCATCAGCATACACATACTTCTCAGCCTGCGTCTCAGGAAGGTCATATGAGTTTATGTTGAACAAAAGGGGAACCAAAACAGGACCTTGTGGAAAGCCATGGTGGAGGTATTTAAGGCAATGGATTTTCTCCCCAACTTGCAGGATGAAGCTTTCATTACTAATCATTTCTCAGACGAACCACATCATTGACCTATAGGGAATAAATTGCAGCAGCTGGGCTATCTATTATAAAGGATATATGGTCCACTCTTCCAAGCCCTTGCTCATGCAAGCAGTCCTTACTCATGTGAGGCATCCCATTGACTAACACTATGATATTCATGTGCTAAATTTTATTCATCATACACCTTTGGTCACTTCACCTGTACTCTGCCCATTAATTCATCTCTGCCAGGACTGCTTCTAACATTCCAAACCTCCCTGGAGCTTCAAACAGCTACCATTAAAAAAACAAAACTTGCCACAGAATCTTGCCACTGATCCCTTCTTGTCCCACAAATGACTCTAGGGTGGAGAGGTGGGGGATAAATACACAGGCTTTATACACTGTGTGTATATTGTGTGTCATAGGTAGACCATTGGAGACACCTAAATTTAAGACTGCCTAACACTTCTCACTACTATAGATTACTTAAATATAACTGACAATTTCTGAAGTTTCCCATGGTTGGTCTCCACCTCAGGTGAAATTTTTGTTTTGAAAGTTTGAGCAAAAACAGTGCAGCCATGTTCAAGAAGGCAGTCGCTGAAAATTGGTAGCTTTCCAACGTTAAGCATTTCCAGCCATGTTTACTAAAAGTAGCTTGAGTGCCTCCATGGTTTGAAACAGCAACTTGAAATTTTACACACACATATGCAATATATACAGTATATGTAATCTCCTTCCCCACCCAAGTGTGTGTGTACATTTATAAAGGGAAGGGAAGGCAAGCTCTCATGGATGGACAAGGCACAACTATGAAATGAAATACCAGACCAGGCTTCTTTAAATATTACCCTACATATCATCTCTCACTCACTACTGAGAGGATGATGTCCGCAGCCAATTGGCCACTGATGCCAGCCCCCAGCATTCACTTCTTAAATTTCTGTTTGTATCCATCTGTTGTCTCTTGTCTTATACTTAGATTGTCATCTCTTTGTGGCATGGACTATCTTTTGGTTCTGGGTTTGTACAGTGCCTACCACAATGGGGTCCTGGTCCATGATGAGGGTTTCTAGGAGCTACAATAATACAAATAATTACCAATCTCAGTAATAACTCATTGTTTATCTGTGCTATCTCCCCCAATAGGAGGACACCAGCTTACAATGGCACCACCCAAGATCTGCATGTGCATCCAGTGTTAAAATCGGAGCAGTGTGAGGCACTAACCTAAAGGCTTTCGTTTCATAGTATTTACCAACCTCTGACAGCCTACGAGAACCTGCACAAGGCAATGCAATTAAAACAATCACCAAACCGAAAGCCCCAAGGAGAATGAGGAGGAGGAAGCTGCCTTCATACAAGGCACACTACTACTGCAACAGCTGCAGGCATCAGTGGTTTCTTTTCCTTTTTCCACCCCCGTCTTTGCTTGGCTATGGGCCAAAGCAGGTCACCTGTGCATTGTGCTTCCCACCAAATAAACAAACAAAGCTCTGAGTGGTATCTGTGGTAAACAACTTTTTCTGCAGTGCTATGAAAGCATGGATGGCAATGGGGGAACAGTCCTCTGCTGACTACTGTACAGCAAAGTAGGGCTCTCGGATACAAATTACCAAAGCTTTGCACAACTCCCCTGCATGTGCTGCTTTTGCACAAGATCACTAAACTCATTTACCTTGTGACCTAATCAGATTCAAAGCTGAAGATGAAACCAGGGGAAGCTAATGAGAGCTGTGGCTGCTCAGAACACTTTTATGTAGTCACCTACATATGAATGCTGGTATCTAACTTTAGGCATACCAGTTTGTGAAGACTGGCCTGGGTGCCCCTGTCCCATCTAGCCTCTTCTCTTCTCCACTAAATGAAACAGGATGAGAGCAAGAGGACAGTTGATGAGTATGTACAATTGGTGAGAGCAGCATCATTTTACCTAACCCAGGGTCCCGGCTAAATTCTGCAACAAAATACTAAAGAACGTTAAAACCTGCCATTGTGCTGTGTTCTCACTGACCTCAGCACGCTGGCATGGGTTGCAAACAAGAGAGTCTAGTTAATCCTGCGCTCTGCCTCAGACATTTACCCACTTCTCACCATCCCTTCACCAAACAGGTGTCTATTGTGTTAAAAAAAAAGGGGGGGGGAATAAGATTTACAGGATGAGATTTTCTAAAGTACCTAAGGGGTTTAGGAGCACACCTCCCATTGACTTGTGAGACTAAAATAGGGAAGAAAATATATCAGATCATAATCCTGAATTTACTTGTATGAGTACGGTAAGCAAAGTTTGATGTGTTTAGCTGCTCCTGGTAATTAGGGGAGCAGTACAGGAAGTGCAAACTATTGTTATTAGTAATAAATTATTAGCATGGCTAACTGTACCAATTCCAAAGGGCAATGAGACATCTCAAATAATCATCCTCAATGCCTGCCCATTCTCCATTGCTAGGAGAACATCAATCAATGAGACACTGCAGTGTCTGTAATATTCCCAGTCCTGAAATCTGGTTGGCAGGTATCAAGAGACTCCTCTTAATAAGTTGGGCCCAAAAAGGCAAGTTCAATTTAAGTATTTGTATTTCAGTAGCACCTGGAAGCCCTAAACAAGATCAGATCCTCAGTGTGCAAGGCACTATAAACACACTCAGTAAGAGACAGTCCCTGGTTCCAAAGAGCTGAAAAACCAAATAGACAAGGTGATAAAGAAAACAGAGGACCAGGAAGGGAAGTGGTCTGTTCAAGGTCACTCTGTTGACACAGCAGGTCAGTGGTAAAGCCAGGATGAGAACCCATGTCTCTTGAGTGCTACGCCATTGCTCTGTTCACTGGACTACAATGGCATGGGACAGTTAGTAAGATTATCACAAAGTAGTTCCTTAAGCAAGCATCTACTAATTCAAAGCAGGCTGGTATCCTGCCCTGTCTTTAGGCAGCATTAATTACCTCCAGAAACAACAGAACCAATACCTCTCTGCACTTTTCCCCCTTTTTTCCCTTCTAACTAGTCATGAAGGACACGGGTCCAACTTGCAAGTGAAAGCCCAAATATCC